AATTTGGGATGAATTTGGGATGAATTTGGGATGAATTTGGGATGAATTTGGGATGAATTTGGGATGAATTTGGGATGAATTTGGGATTTGGGTGCGGACAAATCCCAAATATAGTAATTTGGGATTTTGCCAACATGTATAGGTGTGGTCTCTTAAGAACCATTTTTATATAGCGAACTTTTTTTTATAGTCAGAACCAACAGTTCGTTATAGAAAGTGTTGACTGCCAATGCTATAGATGCTGGAATGCTATAGATGCTGGAATTGAATTTCTAACTCTGATTTTCAATATGGAATCCAAAAATTTTAAATATCAAAAATTCTACATTATATATACAAAAAAAAAAAAAGAATTTATACCAGGTAGTCCGATCCAATTAAATTTTCTTGATTTTTCAAATTCACTTAGTATGTCCACCAAACCATTAGATGACTTTTCAAGATTATACCCACTAACCGTTTCTACAATAGTATACGGTAAAAAATGCGAAATAATTAAGAGCCTAGGCTCACCTTAAATATTGAAAAAAAAATAGTGAATTAGCTAAAATCTAAAAAGAAATAAAAAGCAAGTTGCAAAATACTGTGAATGTTATCAATACTTTTAGATTCTTTATATGTATTGTTTTGACAGTCTTTTGAATTTTCTATCATTAACTGACGATCCTCCAGTACTGAGTCTGGATTGTTTATTATAAATTCAACAGAATTTTCTTTTGATAATTCATTAAGAGTGAGAAAAACCTCATCTAGTGTTGGGCGATTATCGGGGTTAAGAGAACAACATTTATTGAAGAGATTAATGTAATCTGAAGGCGTATTTGGAATAGGATTTTCTTTTTTGTCTTTTAAAATTTCTAACCATATGGCTTGTTGGCGAAGATGTTGAAATGGAGGAACTCCACTTGTAAGTTCCCAGAACAATACACCTAAACTATAAATATCGGATTTTTCATCATGCTTTAATTCATGATTTTTAAGTAATTGCGGGTCAATATATGGTATCATTCCTAATATACTTGAACTTGTTGAGGTTTCAGTAATATCCGTTTGTTTTCCCACACCAAAATCTGCGATTAGGGCTTTACAGTCATTAATCAGGATATTATTGGAATGCTAAAGAATTGAAAATTATTACGACTAGTTTAAAAATTGAATAAACATTCGGGAGTTTATAAAAAAGCTCACTAGATCACGGTGAATGATAGATTTAGAATGTAAATACTTTAGTCCATCTGTAATCTCTTTTGCAATTTGAATGAGTTCTATCCATGAAATTTTAAAAATTCCATCTTCATGCTTTGTTTTCAAATAATCCCGTAGAGTTCCACCATCAGCAAACTGCAGCACCATAATAAAATTTTTCGTTTGTGGTTCTAAAAATTTTATCAAATTGTGTTAGGAAATGAGATAATGGTTTATATGTAAAAGAAGTAAAGAAGTCACATTGTCGCAAATAATTGAAGTTACAGTTGCACAATATTTAAAAATACGTAAAGTAGTAATAATAAACTTGTCAATTATTTGCGATGAAAGAATCAAGTTTAAATGTTCAACTCAAATTGATTACATGCCAATTGAAACTCCATGAAATTTAACAATGTTTGGATGATCAAGTTGGTAAAGAATTCCAAGCTATATATAGTTATATAACAATTAATAGTTTATATCAAAATGATAATACCAAATGAGATATTGATGCATTATATTACCTCACGTTTTGTCTCCTTAAATATTTTTTTATCAATACTTAAATTATTGTTTAAACTTTTTAGTGCGTACTTTTTCCCATGAAAAACTGCCGAATAAACAACAGCTGATCCCCCACGACCAATAAATTTTCTATCTTTAAACTTTGAATAATTAAACTTTTTTATGTCTCCTAATTTCTTTTCTAACTCTTCTGTATATAAAATTACTAAATATAATATACATTTATTTACTTATTATGTTATTATAATATCATTTTAATTAAGAATTTAAATTGTCCTGTTGCATAACTCACATGCTCTTGACATATCATCTTCATCTACGTCCCTCTCTCCTGAAAATTTAAAATAGTTCCACACTACTCGAATAAAATGCATGTTTCTCGTAGCTATTTTACTTAAACTTCGTCTTTGAATGTATGCTATCTATGCGTAGCAATTCGTAATCACGATTTTTGTAATTCTAGTCTTTTATATTAACGTTAATGGTTCTTTTATTAAATAAATTCCTATAAAAGAAATTTCACAAAACACAAAATATCGCACTTTAATGTTTTTGCATAACTAATACTAATACTAATACGGAGATAGATCCGGTTAACTTCGAAATTATTTGCGTACAATATTCCCACGAAACAATTAATATGTAACATATGTAACACGAAATATTTATGAATACTTTTCATTGTTTGCCATTTAATAGTAATACAAACTCTTGAAAAGGAATAGCCAATCAGAGAATGCATTTGGCTTTTCCGGATCTGCCCAACGTAGAATCCGAGCATGTGTAGAATAAACAAATGTTTAAATTGACCTTGGTGTACTAATTAAAAGTGACGGGAACGAAAATTTATATATATTGTAATAAGTGAAAATCTATTTCCAAAGTCTCTAATGCTAATGTCCTAACCCCAAACTTCTATCATCACGCACTTATTTTATTTACAAATTAAATTCCTTTTTTGGGTTTATTGTTCAAAATCCATCGCTATATGCGGAATCTGTACTCCACAAGCAAAAATTTTCTCGGATCTCGGATTTTATTATGAGTCATCATGTTACAGATGAAAGATTACCAAGCTTTTCCAAAATAAAATTAAGTTTTAAACACTGTCTGTTTGTATTATTCGCGAAGTAATAAACCCATTAGTGTATACAATATCGCATTTTTGCAGCACACAAGATACAAAATTAAAATTCTTTAATTATTATTTATTTTTCTAGTTGTTACATAAATAAATAATATGCAGTTTAAAGATATATAAAAGAGTTTAATACAAATTAAAAATTTTTTTATTTACGTATGATCCGATGGTAACATTGAGGCAGAGTGGATCGTTTGTATTAATAACATTATATTATACGTAATAAATAACCATTTATTTATATCTTATCATATATGTTATAAAAAAGTTAATTTTTTAGTGAACAGTTTTTAATAGTTTAAACAAAAATTTATCAATTATCCAATTAAGCCTATAAAAATTTTCTATTAAAATTTTATAAGTGCATAAAATAAAAAATAAAAAAAATTATCGATTTTACTAAAATGCATATGTTACACAATTCGATTTTATATTGATTTATCATAAATGTATATAATTTAATATATTTATACATACATATACCCTTTATACGCTTACCTAACACACACCTTATAATCTAAATTCTAACCAACACTAACCCATCACTTTATAACTTATTCTTATCATACCTTTACCCTATCCTTACCTTAAACATATCTAGTAACTATTATCTACTAGATCCACATTAATTCGAGATTGTACCCATATAAGTCACCCAGGTGGCCATATATCCATTAATCAGGCCATAGTTAATGTACCTTGGATAATTCGCCACCCAAAATTTTTTCAAACCAGTTCGCAATAAAAATTCTATGCTGTTAGCTTAAGAGTGGTATATTAGAATTCGAATTTTACAAGTAAAATTTTTTGTTAGTCGTAGAAGGGAATTTAATAGGCTCAATTTTGAGTTATAAGCATTTTGACAAATCGAACGCTTGTTTTGAATTTTCCTGATCCTGCCTCGTTACACCTGATCTTGAAATTTGTTGGCATTGAAAATTTTTAGGATAGTGACCGCTTAGTTGCTACTAAGCGGCGGCCCAGATTTATTTTGTCAACGTTGAAAATCGAATGATCATATGAATATTTGTGAAGAACCGGGTATGAGACACCAATCCATGCTGAATAATGAATGATACTTGAATTGCTAGCCATTAAATAAAATGCTAGTTATTGTTATCATCATGAAATTGGATTTGAAAATGATGAGCGTAAAACTTACTAAACTGTCAAAAATCTGCAAAGATGGATAATGATGCTGAATAATGGAATTGGAAGTGAAAGGATAAACATTGTTAAAAACTACAGAAATAGTGAACACTAGTGGAACCTATAATGTTCGATGTTGCTATAGTCACAGAATTAGAGTTGAAATGATAAACATAAGAGCTTCATTTATTTCGAAAGATGGAGAACACTAGTGAAACGAACAGTGTTGAATGCTTTGTCAATGTTGAATTAGATAACCATAAAACATATACTAGACTCACCTATCGACTAAGTCGTTAGCTATCGGAACTACTGTATTATCATAAATTCAGGGACACCGGGTAAATATTTGCGAAATTTTTTTCGATCGTTTCAATAGGTTTTTGACTCGGTATAATTGATATAAGAATACCCCTAGAACAAGTATTGCACGTATTATAAAATATACAGCTTTATACACAGATAATTTCGAAATCATAGCTTACCGAGTCATGTGTCCCAGAATTTATGAGAATGTTTAGCATAGCCGCCAAAATTCATTCGACTAAATACCACTCTACTCTAACCTTATCCAATAAACCTAACCTTAACCTTACCCAATATACACTAACCTGACCTAACCTTATCATTGCTTACGTTGAAATTTTACCACAATTGTTATACGGTGAAAATATCAAACGGAACCACTAGTAATAGTAATAGTAACACCAGTAAGGATTGAAATCGGTTTAGTCGACTAAAAAATTTTTATAGTAAGCCAATATGTTTAGTCGACTAATTAATCGACTAAACATAGCAGATAGTAGTCGACTAAACCAATTCCAATCCCTAAACACCAGCATCAACCCAGCAATTAGCAAATCAATGATAGAGAAAGGAGTCAACAAAAAAGAAAGACATAAAAACGTGAAATCACCATACCACGATCAACTTCATTAAAATAAGGAATCTATGAAATAGCAACCTCGATGAACAACGCATCGCAGGTGACATTACTGATAAGCAACAATGCTGACAAGACAAGCGGCGACACGACACCAACAAGAGGCGACACCGACAAACAATGACACGATACCAGGAGAGAATCACTGAAAAACAATATATGATAAAAAAAAATTAGACTAGATGATACCGATAAATAACAAAAAAAAACAATACACAATGTAAACAAAAAACTTATTTTTAAATATGTTGATGATTCGTGTGTTAAACACCGTAGGTGCATTTTATAATTATATAATTAAATAACGTTTTTATTAGTACTGTATAAGTAAAAATAAATACATTTGCCTTTAAGAAAAAAAATTTATTATTTTTTTGTATGAATCCAAAAAGAATTACTTTGAGTAGTAATGCGCTTGGATTTAAAGATGAGCTTATGTGTCGATTTTTTTTGTTAAATTTTTTTTTATTTCGCTAGTGCACATTTAAAATTTTATTTAAAGCAAGTGTACAATGAATGAATCAGCTTTGTTCAGTATTAAAAAGTGTTTTTAATTAACGATAATAATCATAACAGAACACTTGAGTGCAGTATTCAAAAAATTGAATTTTTTTGCAAATATTTGAAAGGTTTTTTTGTTGTAAAAACGCGCAAGTTTTTTTTTTTGAAATAAAATTTAGTTAACACGTAGATTGCATATAAATAATTAAAAAAAGAAAAACTAGGAAAAGGAAACCAAAAAAAAGAAAAAAAAAAGAAACTAAAAAAAAAAAATTAAAAATCTAACTGTAGTATTATCGGGAAGCATATTTTTTTTAGCTCAGCCTGCTCTGCTGAGCTAAAATTTCTCTGCAGGTTCATATTTTTTAACGTGCCATTTTTGCAGAAGGCTTCGATTAATGCTTTCCCTCCTTCAAACCCAACCCTCCTTCAAACCCGAGCTTATTATCCACAATGGTAAGTACGTCGTGTCAAAATCTTTATGTTGCGTAGTTTCACAAAGACTTAACGTCGTAAGCTTTCTGTTGTGGCGAAGAAAATCGTCATCGATATTTAAAGAGTTTATGTTGCGGACAGGGAGAGACTTATGAACTTTGTTGTCTGATTCAGCTTTTAAGCAGAGTATTAAAAGAAGGTAATTTTTATAGTTTGAGGGAAATACATTATATTGAGTTAAACGAGAGCAGGAGAGTGTTATCCTTTCTCATTATATCAAGCGACCCTTTATATATAGATAATAGACTAATAAAACCCATCTCAGAAGGGGTTTTTTCATTTTGAAAAAATGGCGATTATTGGTTTGTGAAACCTAAATTGTACCCTGAATTTTTTGTATAAACACTGATTGACCAATCTTTGACTACGCATCAATCTATTTTTAGAAAATGGCCGTTAAAGAAATTGGTTACAATAAATTATTATTAAGTTATATCAAAAGTGAAATAGATATAAGCCGATGAAGTAAGAAGAATGACTATTTACAATAAATGTGGTAATGTGAACCAAACTATGCAGGAATATAGTAATAGTTAGGCGGCATCCGTAATTTACGTTAAACCAGTATTGTTATAGAAATCTTAAAAGACAATACTATACGGTATGATCATCAATTTATATACAATACAGTACTGGTTTAACGTAAATTATGGATGCTGCCTTACCGGAAATGAGGTAATAATTCAATAACAATGTGTTAATGTGACGATAAAAGAGGTCCAGGTGGTTTTAAAATTGATTACTAACAAATTTTTAATTTAATAATCATGAGACGCATATAAATTACTAGACGAGCCTGATAAAAGTAATAATACGTGCGTAAGATATACTTCAATTAGGGTAGCTGCGCAACGTAGTCACACTTAACTAGGAACGTAGCATATAAGTTTTTTTTCCAATAGTTTTATTCTCTTTTTTATTAAAAAAAAATTATACACCATCACAAAGTATAACCAAGTATTCTCAAGGGTTGTAGTTTATTTTTCTTTCTTTCTTCTTTCGCTATACTAATAGTTGTTTTTTTTCTTTCGCTATGCGTACTAATTTCTTTGCATTTCATTTTAAAATCTGCTGAAGGTGGAATTCGAAAGGACAACTTAATGCCAGAATCTACTACAAAAGTTTGAATAGTTTCAAAATCTGTGAAGGTGGCAATTTGAATGACAAAATGGCTTTTAGAACCTGCCATAGCAGGGATATTATTGTAATAAATGATTCAGATAGAGTGATATTAGTGTGTATTGGATTTGTATACTAAAAAATTCAATTACTGTGCTTACTAACTATTAGTGGTGATTTCAGGTATGGTTTTGTTAGCTCTGTATTAAACTTATCACGATTTTGTACAATGATTTAATGTAAAAAATTTAATTACCTTGCTTACGGATTATTGTAGTAACAAATGATTCAGGTAAGTTATGTTAGTTCTTATTTAGATTTATCGTGATTTGTACAGTTATTTGCTGTGAACAAAAATTCGGTTACTGTGCTTACTAACTATTGGCGGTGATATTATGATTTAGATAGAGCTATGTTATTCTGTATTGGCGATTTTGTACAATGATTTCTAAAAAATTTTAATTATCATGCTTACGGATTATTGCAGTGATGGTAAATGACCTGAAATGACCCAAATGACCCGAATGACAAATGACTAGTCATTGGGTCATTTCGAGACC